ACGACCATCTCGCGTCCTATTGTCCATCAATGAAATCGTATGCCTGCGCGCAAAGCACTCAGCATCGGATGCTGGAATCGGCGCACACTACTGGACCGGAAGTCCAGCGAGCGCCCGGAGCAAGGCACTTCATACGTCGCGATGCAACTGGTGCGCTACCACATCGATATTTCGGCACTCAGTGAAACCCGGCTCGCTGAGCGAGGTAGGTTGCATGAAACAAGTGCTGGCTACACATTTTACTGGGTGGGCAACGCCGCCTCAGCATCACTTGAACATGGGGTCGGATTTGCAATATCCTGCTGGGTGAACCAACAGGCATCAGCGCGCCACTGATGACTGTTCGCCTATGACTCGGAAGAGGTAACTTTGTCACTTTATAAGCTTGTATGGTCAGGCCATGGGGTACCCCGATGACACGCATGATCAATTCTACACCCAGCTATCCTCCGTGATACGGTCTGTGCCGAAGAGCGACCGGCGGTTTTTGCTGGGTGATTTCAACGCACGCGTTGGTCTTGATGCATCGGTGTGGACAGATGTTATCGGTCCGCATGGCATTGATTCAACGGACGCGAACGGACTGCTTTCATTGTGTGCCACTCAAGGCCTGACGATCACGAACACTCGGTTTGCACTGGGTGCCAGTGCTATAGCAACTTGGACGCACCCACGGAGTGGTCACGCTTACCTGCTCGACTATGTCATCGTACGTCAGCGTGATTTGCGTGAAGTTCGCATGACACGTGTACTGCGTGGAGCTGAGTGTGGCATTGATCACAAGTTAGTGCGGACCAAACTGTACATATATTTTCGTAAATCTATGTATTGCACTCCCGCCGTGAATCGGCGTAAATTTAACATTCTCTTCCTCGGTACTGTGGCGAAACGTAATGAGCTGGAGAAGGCGATGGCTGCACGCCTGTGTGACGTGGACTGTATAGCCACAGTGGGCGACCTGTGGCACCACATTCGCGACCAGGTGACAGCTGCTGCCGAGGAGACCATCGGGCGCGCAAACTGTAAGCGTCCTGATTGGTTTGATGACAAAAATGCGACGATTGGCGCGTTGGTGTCGGCGAAGGATGCAACATTTGCTGCACATGTGGCAGATCCCAGTGACTTGGGGAAGGTTAGTCAGTTCTGCAAACTTCGACGGCGAATGACCCGAGAGCTCCGTCGCATAAAATATGCATGCTGGACTGAGAAGGCGAAGCAGGTGGAATGCTACGCCGAACGCCGCCAACACAAGGGATTCTTTGACTCCTTGAAGGTCGTGTATGGACCGATGTTGGAACCGCTGAGGACGCTGATCGATGGTAGTTCAGGCGCTACCTGCACACAGACTGCAGACATAATGCAGATCTGGCAAAAAGACTTTGACTGTCTCTGGAACAATCGTTCAGAGATCGACTGGTCTACATTGAACGGCCTGAAGCAGCACGATGTGAAGGCGAGTCTGGCGAATACGGCGACCCTGGATGAGACGCAGAGAGCATTTGCTCAGCTGCGATACGGCAAGTGTGCCGGTGCCTACGGGATCCTGCCTGAAGTATTGAAACACGGTGTACCCTCCTTGGTTCCAACGCTGCAACACTTGGTGCAACGTGTGTGGATGGAGGAGGAGGTGCCTCCTGAGCTGAAGGATGCGCTTGTGCTACGACAGTACAAGGTGAAAGAGCGAAAATAATGTTTTACGAGTTATCGTGGTACACAGTGGTATGCGAACAAAGGTGCAGCTGTGCGGAGAGATCTCGAATGACTTTGTAGCTATCACTGGTGTGAAGCGAGGCTGTGTCTTAGCTCCTGCCCCGTTTAATATTTATCTTCACGCAATGATGTCGGGTGCTTTTGATGCGGCTTGTGGTTACGGTGTTCGTGTGGAGCACCGTATTGATGGTGGGTTACTGAACATCCGTCGTTTCGGTGCGGGAAGCCGATTCTGTGAGATGACCATTCGTAGGTTGCTGTTTGCTAACGACTATGCGTTGTTTGCATAGCGCGGATGAGTTGCAGCACATGACTAGTGCTATGGTTTCGACAGCAGCCAAATTCGAGCTCACCCTCAACACAAGCAAAACTGTCTTTCATCCAGTCTTCATCGAAGGTGCAGTCTTCAATATTGCCGCAAACCAGCATTGGTGCTGAAGTACTAGAAATCACATCCCGCTTCTATTAAAGCAGTTAGTTCCCTTCAACAATTTGTAAAGTACGGAAAGAAGATGAAGGCTGGTAGATGCATGCATTTCGTATTGTCTACTCAGTACCATTAACAATAACCGATAGGCGTAGATATAGCTAACAGTGGGTGCAACCAGACAACCTCAAGGTGCAAAATGAATGACGGAAGTTCACACCTACGTCCAAGGCTCAGCCTATTGGGGCCAACTCACACTGTGTATACCAATTCGTATGTGACTGCGGAAAAAGTTACATAGGCAGAACCAATAGCACATTGACTTCCCGAATAAAGGAACATGTGCTAATATGGGTTCAACGTGAAGTTGCTCAGATTGCCTACCCTCGTCAGATTCCATGTTCGCGCAGACCGCCGGCTTCCTCGATAGGCAAACACCTATTAGACTCGGCACACCAATTAGAGCTGGGCTCAGAGTATCAAGTCGTGTTACGTCACACTAATCCCCGCTTCCTTCGGTTTGCTGAGGCTGTCGCAATTAGCCGGATTAAACCAGCCTTGTGTGTTCAGAAACAATTATTTGTCAGCCTAAAGCTGCCTTGGACGTAGGTGTGAACTTCCGTCATTCTTTTTGCACCTTGAGGTTGTCTGGTTGCACCCACTGTTAGCTATATCTATGCTTATCGGTTATTGTTAATGGTACTGAGGAGACAGTACGTAATGCATGCATCTACCAGCCTTCGTCTTCTTTCCGTACTTTTCAAATCTTCTATTAACTTGCACACGTCGCTCAAGTTAACTGAAGTTGACTTTGTTAACCTTTTCACATTTGTGGCATTTCCCCAAAATATATTTTCTGACGTCTTGAAACTATAGCAGATATTTTGGCAACGAATTTATTTCATATGCACATTTAATTATAGGGCTGTCGGCATATCTGTATGCATTACCAGATAATTTTATTTGAGGTTGTCGTTTTAAGTGGTTGGTTGTTGCTTGATATCTCCGGTGTGGCTGCGCTTGATGTGCATGTTGACAAGGTGCTAACCTGTCTATTCCCACCACCTCGTCCATACTGGCTCCAGGAGACAGTTGGACGTTACTGGAGGAAACGGGATGCGCGGTCCTTGTGGCCGCGTTAGGTTCGAAGAGTGTTTCCATGCACTCAATGTGGAGCGGACCACGGTCCAGCTACCTCCTTGTGTGCGCTTGATTCCCCAAATACAGTGTGCTTGTGTTTGCCTGTGAAGGAGTGCGGGCCGGCTCCGTTGTTGAAACCTGGCTCCCATCCACATGCCCCCGGTCTCATTCCTTCGGGTTTACACTGGATATGGGGGTGTTTGGTTGGAGCTATGGGTGGTGCAGAGCAAGCCATCCATGGTCCCTCTGTAGGCTCAGACGTGTTGTGGCTGGCCACAATGACATGCAAATCCGGAACCGGACGCCGCCCACCATAAGCCGATTCGTGTATAAGTTGACAGTACGACTTTACAACATAAAAGTTGTCCAAAATCGTACCTCCGTATATCAGCCGGCCCTCGAAAAAATCAGCGAAAAGAAAAATAGAATTGTTTCTCACGATTTTACTATCAGCACTCTCTGCTCTCCTTTGAATGTGCTCAGGCGAAAACTGCGCCACTATTGGTCAGTTCTGGAAACCTAAGGTGTCATGATCGTGGTTACTGGGGCTTAGAGTGGTCAGAACAAAGATTTGAAGCACATTGGACTATGTATTGATTAGATGTCAAGTCACGGGAAACAGGTGGGACACCTGGTAAGGTGAAAGGGTATGTCAGACACCGCCTCGCATAGTCGTGTGCCTCATGTATCTGAATCACAGTGGAACATCGGAGGAGAGGGAAGTTCACGAACAGTGGTATGGGACGACGTTGTAATTTTAATTCAACAGGTTGATTAGCATATCATTGTATATAAGCGCTGTGATTCGCTATTCAAAATAGTGCTAACGCGACGTCACACAATCCAGCTGAGCGGAGTGTGCCCACATTTCGTGCGATCTTCCAAAGCAGTGGAAACGTGAACAAATGTCTGGGATACCGTCTGTCACCAGCGAATGGTGCTAAGTAAAGATAGGGGCATATGTGTGCAGTGAGTTTCTTGGGTGGATTTTACATGCGCTTTTTTCAGGCCGACTCTCCCACTACAGACATTGAAAACTGTCCAAAACTCCCCGGCTTATACACGGTAATATACGGTATTTGTTCAAATAATTAGACTACTTTTAACTCATGGTAACGTGTGAACTCGAAATACTCTCCAGCTAGTGATTAACATTGTGGGTTAATAAAAAATAAAAGAAAATGTTAGCTGTACGTCGTAACGACCCATCACTGCTGCGCGACCACCACCAGTCGCGCGCGGGCTGAGTATACCGCCAGGACGCCCACCCCTACACGGATTCGAACCGGTGATCTTGTGCTTGTAGGTCAGGCGTGCTGACCAGTCGGCCACCGGCCGACAACATTGGGAGTTAATACTGACGAGTACTGGCGAGACCCAGAAGGTCGAAGAGCCGGCGTCTGGTGCTTTTCCAGACTAGTCTAAGTCTGCTGATTGGGAGTGACAATGATGAATTAGCTGAATTGTGAGTTAATGCTTATGGAGCAGTTGAATAGGTTTAGGCCTCCCGACCTCAAGGTGCCTAGCACAGGATGTGGAAAGCAGACGTTTGCTCTACCCAAGCTCATCACAGTTACCTTGGTCCCCAAGATTTCGTTTTATCTGGTAGGGAAATGATTCTATCCACCTTTTCTGCTTTGTTTGTCCCAGAAGACAAACTTGCGTTGAATGCGTTAAAACAATCATTACATTAACCTATATTTCCACATCATTTCACTCATAGGTTTATCTAGGGGAGTCGGATTCATCCGATTTGATCAAAGAGCAGAAGCGGAACGAGCAATCCGAAAGCTGAATGGAATCATTCCGGAGAACGCTGCTGAACCCATCACCGTGAAATTGGCCAACTCTCCCTCGGCTGTAACAACCAACCTCGGATCCGGTGCCAACAACAATTTTGGATTCAGAAATACTATGAACGGTAATCTCAATTACACGATGAATGAGTTTGCATACAGCTCACCAGTTGGGGATGCACTTCTTTCGGAGAAATCAGGACACGCGGCTTTTGCTGCTATGCTGCTGCTTCAACAGGTGGGTTTACTCTGCTGCCGCTCCAGTCTCATAACTACAGGATTTCTTCCGGAAGGGGCTGAATTTATGTATTGTTTGTATGATATTTTCATTCATTATCACTGAAAGGCAGTTTAAGTTGCACACTCGCATCTTACTATAGACACAAGTATTTTGCATCTTAACGAATTATCCGCAATCATCTGGATAGATGTCGCAGTTCTCATGCACTCAGTTTTGTCCTACCATTGTTTAAATTTTGTTTAACATCCTTCCAAACCTCACATTGGAGGATCGATTCCGGTTGCCTCATAGTGACGCATGTAGACTATATGACGTACTGAGACATCTAAAATGCCCAACACCACAGGCGACGTGACACAATTGAGAATATTTATAGGTGTTGTATAGCTTACCTTTATTCAGTATGCTTCATTCACTGTCTTTGGTGTCATCGTATTTGATCCAAAAATGTTTTATTACTTACTCGAAATTTGGTAAACCTTATCCACAGTACCTATCAGATGTAGATATAACTCCCGTTGCGTTTCTAAGCTGCTAGTTGCTCAGGGAACCACAAGTTGACTTGGCTGACGGAATTACGTATATGTCTAAATGTTGTTCTTAATTACCCCAGGGAATTTTAAGCCTAGTGCGCTATGTGAGCTAGCTAGTACTATAAACATCGTTCTGGGCTGGTATTCTGACGTAGTAGACGAGTTGTTTCTCCAACTCTATATTGTCTGGCTAGAGATGATTAAAGTGTTACCGCTGGTCCCGATGCTACGAGAAGTTAGAGAGTGCAGACGCTTCTAAACCGAGACTGACATGGATGGCGTGAATTTCCGGAACGGCTGTATTTTGGAATTCTTTTCTGAGCCCATGAAATGGCAAGAGAACGTTTATACGAACATACGGGCTGCTTTCTTTCGCTCTCGAGTTAATAGCAATCTGGTCATTTATGTAGAAATTTTTCAAGCGATTGTTGTATTTACTGACAGTGACGTTTTAAGGTTCTCCATAATAAAGCAGTTGACCATTACTGTACAACACGTGTGCGAGCTTCATGTCAGCACATACACTGAAACCGCTGGTTCCATGCATTTTCGGTTGTCTCGTTGGGGGTGCCTCCTGAGAAAGATTGACGCACATTGAAAATTGAAACTATCCCAGATAAATATGCTTATCCTTCTGTTCTTATAGGCCACTTCACAGACATTGGATCCTTTCCATCAGCTAACTCGCGTTCCCCGGCTTCCTCATCTGCTACCGACTGCTGGTTCGCTGCTGCCGCAACCCCATCCATTCCACAATCATCCCCATCGTCCACCAAGACAAACAACACTCCCACGATCTGTCACTGCTTCGACAAGGCGGTCATTGGTCACCGGATCGTCAATCTCATCCTCCTTCCCGCATCAGCAGACTTCGACTCAACTGGCCTACACTCGTCCCTGCAACGGACAGAGGAATTCCGTTAGGTTGAATCATCCTATATCCACAGCAACCAGCACTTCCCATCCACTGGTGCCAAATTTATTACACAGCCAACCGCATTTACTCCCTACTTTGCCTGCACATTCCCAACCTGCCATAATGTATCCTCGTTTTAGGTGAGTGCATTAGTATGCCGTGTCATCTGTTACGAACATTTGTTTGTCATGCTACCACCGATGAAAATAGTGGTTTCACAGGATGCTCTGACACGATGGGGAGGATGCAACAAGGTGGAGTGAAGGTTGGCCGTGATACCGTCGTTCTCGGTATTTCTACTCAAAGAGGTCACGCACAAAGATGATCCATTTACTTGTGCATTTACTTCATAATCTTTTTCGTCAGCGATGGACTACTGCAGAGGTTTGTGTTGCATCTTCATTCTGGGGTGCAGTTGGCTACGAAGTGCTCAAGGCGAGAGACCCAATATAATCAGCCGGGTATTGCGACACTGTATGCTCCGTTACTAGTTTGTTTAGCGACGTACAGAATTACCCCCTTGGTACTGCCGCCATTTATGAGTAATTCCTTATAAGTATCACCGTCCATAACAGAGAAAGCGTATGGAATTGAGTGGAGAGGTTTTGAGCGTCTAATTTAATGCTTTTATCAATGCGTAGGAAGTGGCAGCTCAGAAGAGGACGCCTCTCCTCGTTTGATCGTCATTACAGCAGGGTACTTCATAAGTAGGAAGGTAGAACTACGATATATAAAGGTTAGTGAAATCATCTTGTTTATCAAGGCATAAATTACGGAAGTTACAGTCATCTGCTAAACAATAGACGGTCCTAAGTTGATGTATCCCGGTTATTGCTCGTTTTACTTGGGGAATTCCAGTTTACCCGGTATTCAGCACCTGTCTATTTCAGCCACTTTCAGTGGTACGGAGTTTGAAAACAGGAAACTACCATATCCAATAGATAGGCTAGTGATTTGCGATCACCAACGCGGCGTGTTATAGAGTTGCTAATATTTTGATCTGGGTCTTCACTAAAGAGTTCCACTTCCATTCTTTAGTTTTCTTTAATGTCTTCACTGGGTTTTAGCCCATGAGCTGCTACAAAATGAGGTTGATCGTGGTTAACATGAGTTATGACCACATGGTCGTCCAAAGTTTATTGAAGATCCCAAGCACATTGCCTAGGAAAGACACTATTTCATTCGGCCACCAAACAGGACTGTTAGCAAACGTGATCTTAGCAATAAAGCCTTCGGTATATCACATTGGGTTTGCAAAAGGTTAGATAGAGACCGTCCACATGTAGTCAGCTCTTACCTTTGGAGGAGAATGTTGATGATTCATTTCAAGTGGGGATCTTTGACTCCGTACCACTAGAGCTTAATCGTAGCGATCGGGTAAACATAGCGGTGGAATGCTTCCGCAACATCCAGGCATACCACGTCAACGCAACGTCTACGGACACAGTTAAACTACACTTAGCTGTTAGCAGGTCCGTGTTACTTGACCGATGCCCACCGGAGACGTAGTTGTAGTAGGTAATACTTTACATGGATTAGGGAGGAGGTATGGTAATTTTAGCATAGATAGTGCGAGGGTAGAAACACATGAATAAAAGTAGGGTTCCGGTAACATCCTGGTCTATTATGATGCGTGACCAATCTAAGCTAGTGACATCTCGGGTCAATGTTATGGTTCATTTGCATTGGCGGAGGATAAATTAATTGAATTTCTGCACTATCCTGTAGGCCATTGTAAAGTCACCCTCTAGACGTTTGTATGGCTTACATTGCTATCGATATGCAAACTAGAATAGGTGCTTTACATGATTGATCTACCTTCGTTGTGGGGTCGCAATACCCGTGAAATCATGCGTCTGTTAGCGTTGTCAGGCTTGGATAGCGTGTTCCATCAGAAACAGCACGTGTTGATTTACAACCTGTAAGTAGATGAATGGGTTAAACCACCGAAAGGCCTTTCTCAGAGGACCATCGTGCAAGCTATCGCCTTTTAGCACCATACTGCAATGTTTTGAGCAGCCTAGGTCGTCCTGGAGTGGTACTGCGACACAACCCTTCAGAGCCACCTACTGAAGTAGATGGTCTCCACTCCTATAGTGCTGTTCGGGGGTTCAAACTAAGATTGATTACTGAGTGATCAGTCGCAATCACTGCCATGAGCCTATTAGATTGCTTCACGTGTTGTTGTTCCTCTGTCGGCTGTTTACCGCATTAGCAGAAAGGGAGAAATTTGAGGCGTGCAGGTACACGAGATCTCTAGTGATCAAAAGGAGTGTTCGTGACCCAAACTCTGGCCCTCTATAAAGTCTGCAATAAACATGGATATGTTCGGACAATGCATTTGCCGTTGTTGACAAAACATTTCCAACCAAGCAAAGGACGGTTCTTCCCGATTCAATGGGCTTGAGTTCTGTGAAGCTGAAGACCTTATTAAGACAGTCAATTACTTTGGACAAGTCGAGGTAAGTGATGTCACACGTCGACCCTCTGTTAGTCACTTCCATCCAACTACCCAGTGCAATCAATGGGTCGGTAGTTTATCGTCCGCGTTGACGGAGGCAGTGCGGCTACAGGGTTACGGTTGTTGATTCAATCCTGGGTGTTGATCTCCATCCACCTTGGGGGCAGACGAAGTCCAGTCACTAGGTGACAGTTCGCAGATTAAAATAGACACCGCTTTCGAAAATTGGCTTAGTGAACTTGTGTTTCCACCTGCTGTTTTAAGCACTTTGGATGAAGCGCTATAAGGACTCTGTGTAATGTGTTTTCGCTAGCATCATCACTCTCTGGAGAATGTTGTTGATTCCAGCAGAAATATTTATGCCCACGGAAATTAGTGTCCTTTCACGTCGGTAAATCCTGGGGTTGGGCGCTGGATAGGTGTGAGTAAAACTGTTGATGTTAGATTCGATGGTCAGGGCCAATCACGAATGCACAGCATTAGTCGCCTCTTTGTTGTTCATTACTAATCCTGCTTTGGCATTCGATGATTTAATGCTGTTTTTAGACTGGTGCGAATGACGGATATCGTTGACTGCAAAGAACCCAACTAGTCGTCAACATGCGCTGCGGTTTCCGATAAACGAAGTCTGATGTTGAACTGCTGAGCTTACACCATACTGTTCGTAGAGAACAGAATTCCTGCACCTATGTCCGTTTGTAACGGACACACGCAGTAAGATACTTGTTCTTTCTCCTTACACCAAAAAGTAGACTCAGAATTTTTACCCACCAACGGATCGATTAGTAGATTGCAGCAGCTGGTAAGGAAACGTGCTTAAGCTCGTTGACATATGCCGCTCTAGTTCAACCATCCTCTTTAAGAAAGTGAAAGCTAAGGCCGCAGGATGGATTTACTCCTCAATCAGGCCCCATTCTTTTGTACGTACTCCTTTCCGGACAGCAAACGTAAAAGTGGCTGCTTACACATGCATTTACATCCTTCAGTTGCTCTGTTTGCTGCACACTGACTAACTGTAGTGGGGTCCATCGGACTACAAGCATCCTACTTAGCCGTAAAGTGAGGCATGTCTCGGTTTAGTCAAATTGCTTAAACGTATTGAAATGAATTGTTTGGATTTTCAACCTCATTCACATTGGTCGTGATTCACTGAGAAAGCCAAAGTTTGGATGACATTTGTTTAGCGCAGAGTAACATGTCGCTGATACGAGTAAATTGTCAAAAGGAGTATTTACCATTACCCCTCCTACCAACATACTTTTCTGCCTCATTGTTTCTAACGTATTTGCATAATCTCGTCAAAATGCAATAAGCAAGCAAAAGTTGGGAATTATTCCTGGCTTGCGTGTTGTGTGTTTGCTTGTGATACCGTAACAGTTGTACAAACTGGAATAACACATTAGCATAACAAAAACTAGCCTCAAAATATAGGGAGCACAACCGGTTTAAATTCGAAATACGTGTTCTTTGTATTGCAGTCTCATAAGTAATGCAACATATGAGCTGTCATCGGGACCAATGTTTATAATTACTACATCCACTGCGGCTCCTATGCCACGGGGAATTTTCGTAATTCTTATGAGAGGCATATCTTGGAGTCGATGGGATTTCGTAGCCTATTCTCAATTTTGGTACCAAAAATAGAACCTGTAATATTTATATCAGCATCCATCTCGGTTGCAGTGGAACTTTCTATGGACTGGCCTGAGTTTTTGAACTGCACTTGGTCCACGCTTGAGAACAGATCAATCATCCAAATCTAACATGCGCTCTATACGTCTCCCGGGAGTATTCACAACAATTCCAGAGCTTAGTCGGCAAATAAGATGCTTCGGCAGTGCCCAACCCAGGTCAGGATTTGCACACCTTAGCTGGTTTCTCCCTAGTCGCTGCAGACATACTAAGCCCAACAAAAAATCATAAATATACAAACCGAAAGCCATAGTAATGGAGGATATTTCGCTAGATGACTTACTAAGCATGCTAAAAGCCCAGTTTCAAGAAGACTCCAAAACCATGTACGCGGAAAAGAATGGCTTCACGTTTCACTGTAATGCAGCTACACTGACACTGTCTTGTCATAAGGTTGATCCGATTGTCACCACATAATCTAGGCGTCTGACCACTTAACTTCCGTAGCTTGAAATTGAGTGTTGCCCATCGGGAGCTTGTGGGGCTCTACTCAGATGCTAATCGCAAGGGGTGCACGTAAGAGGCGTGCAGAGTACGGAAGTAGGGCGAATTGTTAGATCGTCTGGACTTAACGTGCATTGAAAATGTTACGAAGCTTGGAGGGCAGATAAACAAGGACAGACACTATTATGTGGCGTGACTCATGAGGGGAGCAACTGATCGATATGTATCATCAGTTATATAAATGGACGATCGGAAGATATAAACAAGTAAATACTCCTGTGTCTCAAAATACTGAAAGCGTGAATGAATCATAACGACTACAGGAGTCTTCTTCTAGAAGGCTGTTTGTGAAAAGCCTTCGATAGAGATGTCAGGTGGGGAGACAATCTAAAGACGGGTGAATAGGATAGCAATTGTAGTGGGCTCAGGCGGACGGAGTGGGCTCACGTGGAGTTTGTTGGGTTCAGGCTTCTTTTGATTTATTATTTGGGTGTAGACTGGAGTGAATCGTGGGTGCAGCGTCGGGGCGCAGTTGGGATGTGT